CCTCCACTACCTCTCTGGGCAACCTGTTCCAGTGGTTTACCACCCTCATTGTAAAGAATTTTTTCCTTATATCTAGCCTAAACCTACCCCGATTTAGTTTAAAACCATTACCCCTTGTCCTAACGCAGCTGGCCCTACTAAAAAGGTTTTCCCCCTCTTTCCTATAGGCCCCCTTTAGGTACTGAAAGGCCGCAATCAGGTCTCCCCGCAGCCTTCTTTTCTCTAGACTGAACAAGCCCAACTCTCTCAGCCTGTCCTCATAGGAGAGGTGCTCCAGCCCTCGGATCATTTTAGTAGCCCTCTTCTGGACCCGCTCCAACACTTCCATGTCCTTCTTGTGCTGAGGGCTCCAGAGCTGGACGCAGTACTCTAGGTGAGGTCTCACCAGAGCTGAGTAGAGGGGCAGAATTACCTCCCTCGACCTGCTGGCCACGCTCCTCCTGATGCAGCCCAGAGTACGGTTGGCCTTCTGGGCTGCCAGGGCACATTGCCGGCTCATGTCCAGCTTTTTATCCACCAGCACCCCCAAGTCCCTCTCGGCAGGGCTGCTCTCAATCCTTTCTCCCCCCAGGCTGTATTGATACTGGGGGTTACCCCATCCCAGGTGCAGGACCTTGCACTTGGCCTTGTTGAACCTCATGAGGTTCACACAGGCCCACCTCTCCAGCCTGTCCAGGTCCCTCTGGATGACATCCCGGCCTTCTGGTGTGTCAACCGCACCACTCAGCTTGGTGTCATCTGCAAACTTGCTGAGGGTGCACTCTATCTCACTGTCCAAGTCATTGATGAAGATGTTGAACAGCACCGGTCCTAGTACGGACCCCTGAGGGACACCACTTGTCACCGGTCTCCATCCGGACATTGTGCCGTTGACCACTACCCTCTGGACACGACCATCCAGCCAGTTCCTTATCCACCGAACAGTCCACCCATCAAATCCATAGCTTTCCAATTTAGAGAGAAGGATGTTGTGGGGGACCGTGTCAAAGGCCTTGCAGAAGTCCAGATAGATGACGTCTGTTGGTTGTCCCTTGTCCACTGATGCTGTCACTCCATCATAGAAAGTCACCAGGTTTGTCAGGCAGGACTTGCCCTTGGTGAAGCCATGCTGGCTATCTCGAATTATCTCCCTGGCCTCCATGTGCTTTAGCATAGCTTCTAGGAGGATCTGTTCCATGATCTTCCCAGGCACAGAGGTGAGGCTGACAGGTCGGTAGTTCCCAGGGTCTTCCTTTCTACCCTTTTTGAAAATGGGCACAACGTTGCCCTTCTTCCAGTCACCAGGGACTTCACCTGACTGCCATGACTTTTCAAATATTATGGAGAGTGGCTTAGCGACTACATCGGCCAATTCCCTCAGGACTCTGGGATGCATCTCATCAGGTCCCATGGACTTCTGTGTATTCAGGTTCCTCAGGTGGTCACGAACCTGGTCTTCTCCTACAGCAGGAGGGGTTTTGCCCTCCCAGGCCTCCTCATGCCATCCATCAACTCGAGAGGGGTGAGGAGAGAGGCTGCCAGTGAAGACTGAGGCAAAAAAGTTGTTGAGTACCTCAGCCTTCTCCTCATCTGCTGTTACCAGCCTGCCGGTCTCGCTTATCAGCGGGGGTACACTCTCTTTAACCTTCCTTTTCCGGCTGATATACCTGTAGAATCCCTTTTTATTATTCTTTGCATCCCTAGCCAAGTTAAGCTCCAGCTGCGCCTTCGCCTCCCTGACCCCATTCCTACACAACCGGACCACTTCCCTATACTCTTCCCAGGATGCCTGTCCCTGCTTCCACTGCCTGTGCAGTTCCCTCTTCCTCCTTAGCTTGACCAGCATCTCCTGTCTCAACCACGCTGGTCTCTTCCCTTCTTTGCTTGATTTCTTACACCTAGGGATCGATAGCTCCTGCGCTCTGTGGACCACTTCCTTAAAGATCTGCCAGCTCTGTTCTGCTCCCCTGTCCCTGAGGGCCGTTTCCCAGGGAGTCCTACTGACTGACTTGGTTGATGGTACTTAAACCTTATAGAAAGTCATTTTGTCAAGTTCTTACTTGCAAGTGCTGTAATGCCGCAGAATATGATTGATAGCTTTATTTCATGGCAGCTTTTTCCCCCAGCCACTGGAAATACAGCCTATATAGGTGCCTCCCCAGAAAGAAGACCAGGCACAGTATTCTAAACAAACTGCAGGCAGTGGCCCACCTGGGGTTCTCCCACAGCCAAACTTCCCTTTAAGCTGAGGCTACAAGTCTGGCTTAGTTGGCCAAGTTGTCTTTTTCTTAGGGTTTTCTGGCGGAGAGGTAGAAATCAGAAATGCATTTAGTATTGCATGTCCTAGTTTATAGATATTATATTTATATACCTTTACATGTAACAAATATGTCAATTCACTTTTTCTAACCTGTTATGATTTCTCACTGCAACATTTGGTGGTTTTTCCCTCCCCTCCAAAAAAGAAAATAGAAAAAAAATGAAAATTGTCTAGGGGGACAGTCCATTAATAAATCAGTTCTCTCACCTCTAGGGAATAAACCGGCAGGCCACTCACCCCCAGGTCTCCTCCCCTGAGTGTCCCACAAATAACCGGTACAATATTGGCCTTCATGCCACAGAGGAGGTGCAAGAGGTGTTTGGCACCCTGGTTTTGAATGGTGGCCACCCGGCTTGAACTCCTGGATGAGAAACAGCTGATCTGAGCATAGTGGTACATTTTGCACAGAGGCAATCTTGTTACCTGAAAGCATCTCGCTGCTGCAGGCCATTTGATGTTTTTACTGGTGTGCAGCTGATCCTTCTCAAAGTAGCAAGCTATTTCTGTAACTTCAATTGTTCTCAGAGCCTTGCACGAGATCTGGTAATGGCCCACTGCTCTTCACTGCCACTCAGGGAAAAACATCGTCTCATGGACAACTGGGAAAGAAGACCGTAGTTAAGCCAAATACGTTGGTCAGGCCAACACTCGGCACCACCTCTACCCTGGGGAGGTGTGGCAATGCCACAAAAAGCACAAACTTAATTTTCTAAGGCCCAAAGTGATTTGTTTAGTGCTAGCTCAGGTACCTCGCTGGTGCACACAGGCAGTTTCATGCTGCTCAGTGGAGTCCTGGGATAGTTTTAGAGAACCAGACCAAGTGACTTGGACCCTATGCATGGTCCCCAATTCAAGTGTTAACCAAAATGGGATCCCCTGGATTTCAGACCTACAAAGAGCCAGGGTGGGGTCTGTGCCTCCCCCATCAGGCGCAGCCCGCAGTCCTGTACTGGGGGGGCAGCGCTGAAGAGCGGAAGCAAAGAAAAAGCCCATCGAAGCAGATGCTTTTTGTAGGCAAGCTCCTAAGAGCTGATCACTCTACATGCATGAGCCTTCCTTTTATCTTTTCTTGCTCAAGTGCCAAGCAGGGAGCAGATGGTACATTACTCAGCCTTAACTGGAGGGTAAGAAAGTGTGATTTTTTTTAAAAAAAAATTCAGTTGAGACCCTCAGCCCATTTAGATTCCCAGCTCAAAGTTTATTTGTCTTACACAGAACTTGTACTTTCTCCCCTCTCAAATGCTAATCCTCTCCACACATATGCTCATTATGCAAAAGCATATGACAAACACCATCTGGGAAAATAAATAGCTCCTCAGCTAACCGCGCGGCTCCCTCCCTTTACGTCACCCACCTCACTATTGTCTCTCCTATTTTTATCTGCAAGACAGCAATCACTCAATCAAGCCATTAACTTAAAAGTGCCATCTCAGTCAAGCAAGCAGCAGATCCCAGGCTGAGCAGTAAAACCCATTCCATTTTGTGAGATGATGTGCATCTTCATGATAACTTGAAGGCAGCCATAGCACTGAGAAAAATAAATTTATCTTTTAAAGGACAGTTGATATCACCGAGAGATACTAGTCCTGACCCGCAGAAGTCCATGCTTGTTTTTCAGCCAGAAGGTTACATTTTCTCCCCCCATGAAATATGCGGCTCTTGCCACGAGTTCCACCTCGTTTCCATGGACCCCAAGATAGTCCTTCATCTCTGACAGATTATTGCTCATACCGTTCAGAGCCAGGCTGTGGTGCTAAATAGGGAATGACATTAGCCAAGTTCGGTGATTTCTCTAACCTCCATGTAGATGGGTAAGAATAGGAGTTGTGCTGTCATTAGTCGTGATGGATTCATTGTCTGCTGGAACGTTAATCAAAAGAAATCATGTATGCAAGAGAAAGGCATCTCAGAGTATTCTGTTTTGCACCAATGAGTTAGAGAAAACATCATGATTCAGCAAAGGAGCCGTCTATTTAGCTAAATTAAACAGGATCTGCACAATTCAACCATATTGTGTTGAGGCTAAGTAACCAGGAGAAATTCAAAATGTGCAGCCAAGAAACTCAGTGGCTGATGCTGTGATATAAAGGCAGAGCTTTGTAAATACCCTGTAAGAATTGTGGGGCCATAAATGCTGCAATATTATAACTGTTTAGAAAAAATATGAGACAAAATTCAATGATGACCTTATCTGAGCTACAAATTCTTGTCAATTATTTTATGCTTGTAGGGACATGTTTAATAGATGGCAGAAAGTCCTTCTCATTTGTCCTCAGAGACAGCGCTGATATTGCCCAGCTAAGAAATCCATTATACGGCTACAAAAGAGGCAATTTGATTTCATGAGCACGTGCTTTTATTATTTTAAGAATAATTTAACGTAGGCAGAGGAAAGCAGAATCTGTATAAAAAAAGACCAGAGTTTCCAGCACTTGCAGTTACCAGCCCTGTGGTTCTTGTTCCTCATGAACTTTTTTTTTGGGGGGGGGGAAATCTTTTTTTGTTTCCTCCCCATTGACTCCCTTGGGAGTTTTGCCTCACCTAAGACAGAGGAGTTGAAGTCTTGTATAGCTAAGACGAAGGAGTTTCCATCTGGTATCTGGTTTGGGGTTGATGTTGCTCAGAATACGTATGCCTATGCAATACACGCTCTGTGCCGCTGAATACGCCCTTAACTCCCTTCTTTTTGTTGTTGCAACAGACGAACCAAACTCCTGGAGTGCTCCCTCTGCCACCTCCCCAGCTCTGCCTGAACATAGCCCCACCCTCTGACCCTTCTCACCAGATAAGCCCAGAGCCAACATGGGATATCAAGAGGGAACACGATGTAAGGAAACCAAAGGAGCTTTCGGTGAACGGTCACAAAAAGAAAAGGTTAGGAGAACAAAGAGAAAGGTCAGCAAGTCCTAAAAAGGTAGACAGGTCAAAGCATGAAGAGGCTTCTTGGAAAGGATATCCAGAAAGCAAAAATAAGACCACTGATGGTGGCAGGCCCACCTCAGAAAGCAAAGTGGTGGGACACAGCATAATGATCGAGGCTGGCGCGAGAGAGCACGTGTGTGCTGGAACCAGTGATGAACAGTTTGGGAGGCTGAGGAAGCCGGAGAGCAAGAGAGGAGGATCTCTTAGCAAAAAAGAAGATCACAAATCCACAAACACCAGTGAGAAGAAGTCAGCTGCAGCATCTGACCATGTCAAGCTCGATACAGGTGCTACCAAGGCATACAGTAGGAACCGCTGCAGCTCGCCTGGAATTGATATGGACCACAGCCAGAGGGACCCTGATGGGAAACCCAGCGAGTTCCCCAGGAAGGGACATCTCCACTCCATTAGCACTCGCAGCACCAACACCACAGTTCGAAAGGCAACGGTCTCCCCAGGGCCATGGAAAATCCCTGGCTCAGATAAGCTACCTAGCGTCCTGAAGTCTGGTACTTCTGCCATGAGCAGATAAGCAAGGGAGTGTTGCCCTCTAACTGTCTCAAACTGACGCAGAACATTCTTCTTAGTTTTTGTCTCACATTGGTTTGTTTTAATTTATTTTAACTATCACACATATACACAAAACATTGAGGAATGAAAACATTAGTGTGTAATTCCATGACAATGTGCACAGTACCTAATAAGTTCAAAAGCATATAGTCAACACGGAGATTTAAAATCGACCCTAAAGTCCCAGTTCCATTTTAGGGACTTTGGCAGCTATGGAAGAAACCAAAACAATATGAAGGACAGTACATCAGAAAAGGCTAGTGCAGTGTAGCTTTAGCATTTTTTTCCCACTGCATGAAGGACTTGGATTTCATTCAAACTTTATATCAAGAAACTGGAACAAGTTAGAGCAATCACAAACTGGAACATCGCCTTAAATAAAACTGCACGGAGCAAGCTGAAACCGAGAGAGGATCTTTTCATGGAGCTAAAATGTTGTAAATAAATTGTTCTCGACATATCTAGACAGGGGTTAAAGGGTTTCTTTGAAGCATCGTTGGAACTGTACATCCATGACACGTCTCCACTGTTAACGCTTCGGGATAGTCCACGTGATACCCTGTAGCATAGTTCACTGGGCGCTACGGGAGGAGTGAGGAATCCAGTGGATTAGTTTCTGTGATACCATTTCTACTGCCATTTTTGTGAACAAACCATGTTTCTGTACATTGGAAAGGAGTTAGGGTGGAGTTGTACTTGCAAATTATTCTCAAAAGCGATTTATTACAGATTCCCCAAATCCTGTGAGGTAGCACACAAACCAATTGGGCAGGCTCAAAACCCAGACGTCTGCAAGGCCCTTGCAATGAAAAGGAAGAGTGCTACAGAGAAAAAGCTGCAGTTTCCTTAAGGAAAGGCCTTTCCCTCCTGCAGAAAACGAGAGCTTCACGTATCAACAGTGCTATGTTTCATACCCATCTACATTTAGTTAGGACACTCGCACCTTTCATCCCCTCAGTTTGGCAGAGCAGGTGCCTCTAAGGCACACGTTAACAATAATTAGACTGGTTTCTGAAATACAGTTGTCGGTGTCCTCATTCAGTAAATTCGATATATTTCCATTTTTAAAATGGTTTCCATTTTATCATTTCTTCCCTACCTCCATTTCTTTTTTTGTCTTTTTTTTTGTTTCTATCTTTCTTGCTTGTCTGTTTTGAATTTCAAGCCTTAAGTGCCAGGTAAACATTCCAGTCTGCCTTCACAGGAAATAACTCCGAGTTCAGTCAGTCAGTCATTATCTTGTTTCAGAACGATGCGTGTGTGTCTGTGTAAGTGTGCATATGCTTATTTGTCTGTCAAAATTAAAACAAAATCCTGGGCAATAATGCATTGGTAATTTAAAAAAAAAAAAAATCATAAAGCTAAGTACTGTCAAAAATTCATATTTAAAAACTAATGTGCTCTAGCAATCTTACTTCCTCACATGCTCTGCTGAAAAATTAGATTGAGATTGGCTTTGTTCCAAGAAATTAGCACATTACTGTATGTCTCAAACATTGCACTGGACTGAGAAATTTATAGGCATGTTTCTTCCTGTCCAATTATTTGAAAAGCCTCAAGTCAAGGATTTTGCAGCTTTCAAACAATTTTTTTTAGAAAGAAAAATCCATTTATAATTTCTAAAAAAGCACAAGTCCATGTAGCTGTTTATAAAACTCTTATTTAATGAAAAAAAGAAAAAAAAATCTTTATCCCCTGAACTAGAATCCAATATAATTTGCCATTAATTTATTGAATCTGATTTTGGACAATGCTTCTGTAGTGTAGATGCACGTCCCAGTATCTTATTTTTATGTATGAAGAAAGCAAACAACAAAATCTGAAAAACAGTTGAGATTATGCTTGCATAAACTCTAATTTGCACAGTTCACAGCTACTCCTTGTGCAGTAATTGCTTTATGCGGCTGTAATCGATAACCTGTGAAGACAGCACATCATCTAAACCCCATTCCAAATAATATTTCTGTGTAGTGTTAGCTGTGAATTTACCCTGTACAGCTCTATCTCTATAAATATAATTCCATGTATTAATAGTCACAGAAAGGCTGTAAGTGAGCAACTATTTTTATGAAACGCACCACTATGGATAAATTAACTTTTACAGAAATCTTGTTTACTGTATGATATTCTAAACCACTGTCAAATAAAATATATATCCAAAAATCTTTTTTTTTTTTCAATTGTACATAGTCTGTGTTAATTTTGAGTGACAGGCTTCAGTGTTACACCAAGAAACTGTCCTTTACGTGCATATGAGTAGAATTAATGAACTGCTGCATTATAGAAAAGGGAAAGCTCCGGTTTGATTTCCTACTCCAAAGAGGGGTACAATTTCTAAATATACATGTAGGCGACCCAACAAGTTCCATCTAGGCAAGTTAAGGTGTATGAGGCTACCGATAATACAGAGAAATCTCTCCCCTGGTGGAGAAGAAGCCTGAACTCTTATTCTCCTTCCAGTCCCAGGAGACACAGGACCAGGGTGGCCAGAGTCCCACCCTGAGAGACAACTTCTGAGCCTACACCATGCACGCAAAAGGCGTCTGGCAGCCCTAACTAACCCTAGAAAGGCTTGTTTACAAGTGAGTGAAGGGGACATAATTTGATTTCCAGTTTACTTTACAGAAACGATGTCTCAGAAAACATCGTGAGGATGTAAAACTAATGGTAACCAGACAGCCTCTTCAGGGGCCTAAGCCAACCCCGTCGAACAGAACAGAAGAATGCTCCTTACCTTCAGGTAGGCAAAATAAATCACCAGTTTACAGACTGTGGGCACTGTAAGATGTGCTGGCTGGAACACTACCAATATTTTTCCCACAAAAAACCCCAATGTTTTTCTAAATAAATATTTCCTTTCTCCTTAAAATATAATTTTCTTTAAAAAATAATAATCTGCCTTCATAGACCCTGAATCAGTCTGCTGAGCCTCGTTTTTCAGATTAATGTTGCGCGTAAAAAATTTCAACCAGCTGAACAAATAACATCATTTTTCATTATAATAAACACATAAAAAAATTGAAGCATCTTTAATACTCAGAAAGTATTTGCTGATCTTTAAATACCCACCATTTTCATGGCTGGAAATCTGAGTATGGGCCTGATTCAGACCCGGAGGTATCACAGGGAAGCGTGTTGAAGCCGTAAGGCCTCACCCAGTCTAACTTTTTCTGTTAATAACATGTCCTTTCTCTTCCAAACATAGCAGTACAGCACTCACATTGCATTGCCACTCTTATGACCCTTTTTAATCTACTTTTTCATACCTATGCAACAACACAGGAAACTGGATGTTTATTTTGGTGCAGATTTGCTGCTCCAAACTCCGATGCATCGCTGTAAGTAAGCTTGTCTGCATGTGATCAGCAAAGCACATTTGGGGAGGAGTTCTGGTAAAACCTCGTAGGCAAATGTTGATGCAGCCCTTTTCTTAATGAGTGGCAAATGTTGGCTCTGGGGTTTGCTCTCTCTCCATGTATTTCTCTGCTCAGTAGCTTTAGTAAGTGCGCACAAACTGCAGAGCCTGGAAGAGCTGAACTTCAAACAACTTTAATAAAAAAGTCAGAAAATTTAACAAAGGTCTCACCAAAGATGCCATCTTTTCTTCCAGAAAGCTCCTGGACCGACAGCACTCTTCGTTTAGGTACAACAGAGCACAAGCTGAACTAGTTTCACTGCACTACCCTCCCCTAAACTGGAGGGACAGATGTAGCCCATGTATCTACCTACTCCATGGCCTCAGTGATAAGACCAGCATCAGTGTGGATAGCTGTCTGCTAGGGATTGATGTGGAAGTTCAAGCATGGCCCCATTTCTACCCTGATATTTTTCATGTCCCAACTGAAAGTGCAGCTGACCACCATTACCAAGAACTTTCTCATCTCCATGAAAGATCATCTTCAGTCTGATTTGCAGTATCTCTGCTGAATATGAACATCTCATGCTTAGCCTCCTCCACATCCCAGGTGCCCTCAGCACCACCAGATCTATCCTGAATCTCTTCTCTTCCTTCACAGCTCCTCACTGCTCTTGTTCTTAATCCTACCTCCGAGAGAAGCCCTGCTGTCTTTCAGGGGATTTAATTTTCCATTCTCCATGGAAGGTCTTGCAACTGGGAAAACACAATCCCAGAGTGCAGCACAGACTGGGATCCACCAGGCTGGAGAGCAGCTCTGTGGAAAGGGACCTGGGGGTCCTGGTGGACAACAAGCTCAATATGGGTGAGCAAAAAAGATGTGGACAGGGTGGAGGGGGTCCAGAGCAGGGCCACCAAGATGATCTAAGGGTCTGGGAAGCCTGTGGTATGAGGACAGGCTGAGAGAACTGGGTTTGTTCAGCCTTGAGAAATGGAGGTTTAGAGGGGATCTCATCACCACCTACCAGTATTTAAAGGGTGACGACAAAGAAGACTCCTTTTCACAAGGAGTCACATGGAAAAGGCAAGGGGTAATGGGTACAAGTTAATCCTGAGAAGATTCTGATTGGACATGAGAGGGATTTTTTTCTCAATGAGAACAGTCAACCATTGGAATAGTCTCCCCAGAGGAGTGGTTGACTCCACCACACTGGACACTTTCAAGACTCAGCTGGACAGGGTGCTGGGCCGTCTTGTCTAGACTGTGCTCTTACCTAGAAAGGTTGGACTAGTTGATCCTTGAGGTCCCTTCCAACCTGATATTCTATGATTCTATGATTTTCCCCTTCTGTCCCTCAGAACTTTGCCTTCCTCTTTGTCCCTCTTTCCTTCTGGCCCTCTCTCACCAGCTGACATAATTTGTCACTCTCAAACTCCACCTTACATGTCTCACCAGCTCCACATTAGGCACCTCTGCTGATAGGTGTCGTGACCAGTTAATCACACTGGACAAGTCATTAACATGCTCCCGGGTGCCATATAAACATATAGACATACCCAACACCTTGTGTTGAAGCCCAACCCAAATCATCTGCCTTGATCTCCAG